ACCTTCAACCCAACAGTCTTCAGGGAGCTGGATCCTGAACAGTGACATGAGTGAGCCTGGTGACCCTTGCCCCGGTGAGCCTTCAGATGATGCAGCCCCAGCAGTCACCTTGATTGCAGCCAGTCAGAGACCCTGAGCTGGAGGACGCAGCTGAACTAAGCCACAGACACTGTGAGATAACAATGTGGTTTTAAACCACTAAGTTTTGGGGGTATTTTTTATGCAACAGTAGATAACTAATACAGTCACCATAGCTAAAATAATAATAATACTTAGCATTTATCAGCAATTTATTATTATGTGCCTGGTACCATAACATGCCTTTTATATATGTTGCAAGTAAAAGAAAACAGATTAAGCTAGCTTAAGCAAATAATAATAATATTCTTGAAGTAATGCTTTTTTATTTTAATGAGGTTATTGATCATGTCCACCACCCATCTTTCAGTTTCTCATACTGTGGTGGCTTGCATGTTGCAGTGATGCTGGAAGTTATGCCACTGGTTTCCGAATACCAGCTGGGTCTCCTATGGTGGACAGATTTCAGTGGAGCTTCCAGACTAGACTACAAAGAAAGGCCTGGAGATCAATTTCTGAAAATCAGCCAATGAAAACCCTATGGTTCACAGCAGAATATTGTTCAGTATAGTGATAGAAGATGATCCCCCTATTTGGAAGTCACTCAAAATACACAGTGGCCGCAACAATGGACTCAAACATACCCACAATCATGAAGATGGCACAGGATTCGGCAAGGTTTCATTCTGTTGTGCATGGAGTTGCCGTGAGTCAGAGCTGACTCAACAGCAAATAATAACATTGATCATGTAAATGAAAAATCTAGGTCTTGATCATCGTGGGTGGTGAATTGCTCAAGTGATGTTAGGAATCTGTCTTTCTCTCTTTCTGTATCTTGCTTCTGGTTCTCAGTGACTTGGGTTCATTCTCAGGCAGACTCTATCCAAGTATACGCAAAGACATACACACTAACAGCACCATACTTACAGTCTACTGGTCTAGTAAACCTAGTGGAAACAAGCACTTCTTTTTTAATAGATAATCAAAAGCCCTAGGCCTGACTCCACTGGGCAGGTCACACGCTTGACCTTGAGCAGTCACTGTAGGCAGAAGGATGGAATTCACCTACAGCCCAGGTGTGTGTTGTATTCACAGACCTGGAGCTGGATACAGGGTCAGCCCTATCTAAATCACAGGGACTTCTTGAGAAGGGAATAGACATATTATGCCAAAGAAAACTAGGATGCTGTTATTATAAAAAAGAAAAGGAGAATGTGAAAGATGGACAAGGAAAAAAAAGACATCCACTACATTTCACCTCTTGGCAGCTCAGCATTGACACACACACACACAAACCTCTTTTTTCATGTACACACTTTCAAAAATGCTCCCACTTAACATATCCTACATGAAATTAAAAATGCATTAACCCCATCCCAAGGAAGACAACCCAGAATCTTTTCCCGTGATGGTATCTGGCTCAAAGTCAAGTGTTGTTTAGTGATTTGCAATCCTCTTGGTCTAGTCCATGTGTGGGTCCTTATGGCTGCCAATCTATGGTGCAGTGGTAAATCTACCACCAGCACTCTTAGCACACAATGATGGAAAAGAACAGAAGAACTGTTTAGGTCCATGGCACATAGCGAAGTCTGCTTCTCCCATCAGTAGAGCAAGTTCCTTGATCTACAAGTCTGTACTAGGACTAACTGTGCCATCTGAGAGGTCTCCCTGTCCTGACATGTCCAGTAACCACATCTAAGATGAGCATCTGGGAGGATTTCCCTCTCTGGATCTGCACATCTTTAGCCTCCTTTGCCTGAGGGAAGAAATCTTCATTGTGATTTGCCAGTTTTAGAGTTTTTCTGATAGTTCAACTCCATTAGCCCGTCACTCCATCTGCTTTCTGTTTAAATCCATTTGTTTTCTATCCATCTCTTGAGCTAGCAAACAAGTCAGAGATTTTCTAGATTAACAGCCATTAATCTCTCCCACTCTGAGTTGTTTATACTTCTTAGATACAAGCCTCTGAGCTCTGTAAGTTCCACTGACCATTTAGGAAATGTCCTTTTACCTGAGGTAATGCATAACAGTGGCCTAAAGTGGGGGAGACAGAGCTCTCATCTGTCACCACAACAGGCAGCTCTTTATAAGAAATGGACCAGAAGTGCTTGGGAGGGGCCTGAGAATTCAGTTTTTTCCAGTTTCCCACATTATCTCCTTCTCTGTTTCTAGCCATGCTTTCACTACCATGAACACTAGTTTGCTCCACATTCCTTCTTCTGTATGTGGAAATCCAGTTGTCCTAGCACAATCTGTTGAAAAGACTTCTTTCCCCATTGAATGGACTTGGCACCATTGTCAAAAATCAATTTGCTAAAGAAAGATACTTAGAGGAACACAAAGGAAAAAAAAAAAAAAACAGAAGCAACCACAGTAAATACTATAGTGTATACAACTCTGCAAAAACAGTAAAACCAAATGAAAACTTACAAGCAGATACACAGGATAATCATATATATAATAAAGCACAAAGTGAGCACAGTCATAGAAGCTTCCTAAACACATCCAAACACCTCAAGGGACCAAGCTACTTGTGCTGAAAGCTGGGGACCATGGTCTCAGGTAACATCTAGGTCAATTGGCATAACACAGTTCATAAAGAAAATGTTCTACATCCTACTTCGGTGAGTAGCATCTGGGGTCTTAAAAGCTTGCAAGCAGCCATCTAAGATACATCTATTTCTCCCATCCCATCTGGAGCAAAACAAAATGAACAAAACCAAAGACACAAGGAAAACATTAGTCCAAAGACTACAACAACTACCACAGCCCCCACCAGTCTGAGCCCTGAAGAACTAGATAGTGCCCGGCTACCATCACAGAATACTCTGACAGGAATCACAAAAGACAGTCCCAGATAGAGTGGGAGAAGAGTGTAGAACAAAATTCAAATTCACAAAAAAAAAAAAAAAAACAGACTTACCCATCTGACAGAGACTGAAAGAACCCCCGAGACTATGGCCCCCAGACACCCTTTTAACTCAGAACTGAAGCCACTCCCAAAGCCCATTTTTCAGACAAAGATTCGACAGGCCTGTAAAACGAACAATAACACATGTGAGGAACGTGCTTCTTAGATCAATCAAGTATATGAGACCAAATGGGCAACACCTGTCCAAAAGCAAAGATGAAAGGTAGGAAGGGACAGGAAAACTGAACAAATGGAAACAGGGAACCTGAGGTGGAAAAGAAGAGAGTGCTGACACATTGCAGGGATCAGAACCAATGCCATGAAACAATTTGTGTATAAATTTTTGAAAGAGAAGCTAATTTGCTCTGTAAACTTTCACCTAAAGCACAAATTTTTACAAAAATCAATTTGCTGTATATTTTGATCAAAGACTCTATAGAAGAATCTTGATCAAAAGGGGAAAATTCAGAACAGAATTTCAAATTCTCATGGAATCCAGACTTTCTAAAGCTATGGAGGCTGGATGAAGCACCAAGATTATTTCCCTGAGATAATCCTTAAACCTTAAACCAAAACTATCCCCTGAAGTCTTTTTAAAACCAAACAATAGTTTATCTTAACTGCTAAAGAATGTCTGCTTTGAGCATTGTGCTCTTTTAAGATCTATCTATACGGGATCAAATTGACGACAGCAGCTCAAAAGATTAGATAGAAAATTTAGGGGGGCAGTGAGTTTACGTAAATGGGGGAGGAATAGCTCAGAAAATGAGGGTGAGAATGGTTGCACAACTCAAAGAATGTAATCAATGTCACGGAATTGTATTTGTAGAAACTGTTGAATTGGTGTGTACGCTGCTGTGTATATTCTCAACCACAATAAATTATTTAAAAAGTCAATTAGCCATCAATGTATGGGTTTGTTCCTGGACTCTCAATTCTATTCCATTGGTCTATATATCTATCCTTATACCAGTACTCACACTGTTTTGATTGCTGTAGTTTTATAGTACTTTTTGAAATTGGGAAGTGTGACTCCTCCAACTTTGTTCTTCTTTTTCCAGGTTTTTTTGTTTTGTTTTGTTTTTTTAGCTCCTCTGGGTACCCAGCAATTCCATAATAATGTTAGGCTTGGCTTGTCAATTTCTATAAAAAGGCAGCTGGGATTTTTATAGGAATTTCAATAAATCTGTACATCAATTTGGGAGTCTGAGGAACTTTTGCAAAAGAAAAATTTCTCCAGCTTACAGTCCCCAGTAATCAACAGGTGGAACCCTTACCTTTGTGCACCTCAAACCCCACAGGGCTACTTGGCCGTTGGTCACGTCTTAGGAGAGATGTGTTATCTGCTATGTTTTTTCACTCCATTTAATATGCTTATATTTATAAAGCACTTTACAAATATAAAGCATGGTATTAGAAGCCAATTCTTGGTTTCATCATTAGGTGACTAGCTACCACATAAGAAAATCACCTTAACTAATTTTACATGATGTAAGTAACAGGTGTAACAATGCTTGCGCTGAAGTTTAGAATATGAGTTTAAAATAAGTTTACAGCTGCAAAATTGGTTGCTACTAAAATGATCTTTTAAGAAACCTAAGAGATTAGGCTGACCATCTGCCTGTCGATTGCATAGCCCAAGATTGTCAAGTACAATTGCCTCGCGCACATTGCTAATATAGAGTTTTGTCAGGCTATCTACGTCCTTCTTTATCATTATATACTAAGCTTCATATCACTCGAATCATTTACTTCAACAGGTTTGAATTATGAATGCATTCCTGCCTTTAGGGGGCAGTCATAGTATACCCAGACATTCAAAGTAAGAGGTTCTACATCTGCAATGAAGACTAAAGATCTGTGCATAAGCTACTGATCCACAAACAGATAATCCTTTTGCTTTGACTAGTGCAAATTTCCAAGGAGGCTGCCAGCAGACTGACAGATGCCTTAGCATTGGCCAAAGGAAGAGAAATAAAAGTGGATTGTGTCTTGGTGTTTTTATTAAAATATGCCCAGGCTTTTCCAAGATGACCAAGACGGCTTCCAGAAATACTGTTCCAGGCCATCTGTGTGGAAGCAACTTCTGCCCTTGTTTAGGTCTGAAAGATATAACGCAAACATCCACCAAACCCCAGAACATGAAGAGGACACCAAAGCTGTGCATGACTTCAAGGTAAGACAACCTCTTCATAATCCATGATTCTTTCTTGACAAGGAGGAGGGTTTATCCAGAAAGAACATAAAATCATAAACAAGTTTGAGTGCCATTGCTCACTTTATCTTATTGAAGATTTATCCCCAAGAGAAAAACTATAACCATGATGACAATTACTGGATATGTCCAGTTTTCTCCAACCACAGCAGTGTCCCTTTATCAAGACAAGTCATTACTCATTGCTTTTTTGTTTTGGGAGATACTGTTTTTAAAAGCAGAAAACCTAGTCACAGATTGGGTGGCTATTGGTATTAGCCCTTGGATGTTTTTCTCTGATGTAAAGATTTTATCCTATGTAGTAATGAAATAAAAAATATAGACTGCTTTTTATAAAGACTGCTAGAGAACAAAGTCAATAGACTGATACAGGAACATAAGAACATTAAGGAGTTAAGAGGGTGTTTTTTTCTAAATTCCAGGTAATTCCTAAGACAGCATCACTTTCTACCATTAGAAAGATGATGTCCCCAAACAGTAGCAATTTTACTGCTCAGTGTAGTGTGTATCTTTGCGGAAGGTACAGTTTAAGTCTGTAAATCCTCTTAACTATTAATAGAACCATTTCTTAAAAGGTTATTTTGGTGTGGAGGGGGATTGCCTTGTGTTAGTGTCTAACGAATAATGATCAGAGCTAAGAGTTAAATGCTGCAAAATTAGACCACAGCAAATGGAAAAGTATTCACTTTAACACTAAAAATCCATTTGCCCCTGTGTCATGGCTCATATCCCAACAGTGATCATTCTTTATTTGCAGACACTCTATTTAATTCTCTTGATCTGCCTCTTCCCCTGATTTTTTTTTTTTTTTTAACTACTTGGCACAAGCAGAAAAGAAAAATTTTAAAAAAGTTTTATGGAGGCCTTTTATGTGTAAATGAATTGAACTTTCAAACATTTGTGAATTACAAATAACACCTGAATTTCCATGCCACCCCTATTATCATCAAGGAGCCTGGGTAGTACAAAGAGTTGCCAGCTGGTTGCTTGGCAAAGGTTATTTGTCCAAACCCACCCAGCACTCTGTGGAAGAAATGTCTGGCAAACCGCTTCTGTCAAGATTACAGCCAAGAAAATCCTATGGAGCAATTCTGCTTTGTAACACATGGGGTCACCTTGAGTCAGGGGCTGACTCAGCAGCAGCAAACAACAAACCACAACCTATTATCATCTAAACACTAGGTCTTGAAGAAACTAGAATGAAATAGGATCTAGTGGCCAAAAGTCCTTGATTGATGGGCATCTAAATGTAGGCAAGATGTGCACTGTTGCACTTTACCAAGCATGATGACCTTCTCCAGGGATTGGTCCCTCCTGATAACATGTCCAAAGTATGTGAGACAAAGTTTTGCCATCCTTGCTTCTAAGGAACATTCCTCCAAGACAGATTTGTTTGTTCTTGTAGCAGTCTACGGTATACTCAATATTCTTTGTGAACACCATAATTCAAAGGCATCAATTCTTCTTCAGGCTTCTTTATTCATTGTCCAGCTTTGGAATGAATATGAGGCAATTGAAAATACCATGACTTGAGTCAGCTGTGCCTTAGTCCTCAAAGTGACATCTTTGGTTTTCAACACTTTAAATAGGTCTGTTCCAGCAGGTTTGCCCAATGCAATAACGTCCTTTAATTTCTTGACTTCTGCTTCCATGATTGTGGATCCAAGTAAAATGAAATCCTTGACAACTTCAATGTTTTCTCCATTTATCATGATGTTGCTTATTGGTCCAGTTGTGAGGATTTTT